AGGCCTGTAGCCCAGATGTCATTCAACATCTCAGGGTTTGTAACAGATGCAGGACCTCAAGTCTACCAGGTGGTACAACCATCAGTACGTTTAGGCAGGTACGTCTGTCGAGTACAAGCCATTGTGGTGGACAAAATACCAGTAGACCTACAAGTTCAAGGTCTGAGAGCAACAGCCAAATTCCTGAGAAATAGAGGAATAAAATTGGCAGATAATATTAAGTCTGATCACCTCACCGACTTCGGTCTCCTTGTAGGGACAGACTATTGTCATCGATTCATCGGTAGCCCTACTAAATATCAGGGTATAACCATGTTAAACTCTGCAGGAGGTAAATTACTCTCAGGCCCAGTATCAAGCCTGAGGAGACCTATGCCTGCAGATAAACAATACCAGTAGAAACCTAAATTTGTCAGCTGATTATATTTCTCCAGTAGCATTATACTAAGGAGATTACAGCTGACTATACCAACAGAGGTTGATGTTAGTATCATCATTTAAAGCTGAAGATGAGTTCATGAGGCCTCAGTGGCAAATCAGTGAACAGTAGCCTAAAACAGCTACAAGTCACTGCGACCAATGTCACTGAACCCACTGCAGTCTCAGAACCATACTTTACTTTAATGATGAGCTATTCAATCTTCTGAATCAATTAACTAAATTAAACCCTAATAAATCTGATGACTGATTTGATACATTTATTATTTAATCAAGATGTATTCCATGGGCCTCAGTGTTTATATATCAGTGACCAGTTACCTGAAGAAACTTCAAGTTATATCTAATGTCACTGATCTCACTGCAGTCCCTGAATCATACTTGACTGTAGTACTTGATCACATTCAGTCTTCTGGGTTAAATAATATGTAATAAGGCTTGAATATTAGCCTTTCAAGAGTTGACAGGGAAATGAAATCGCATTAGACTTCTAACCCTTGCAACTCTAGTACGGGACATCCGTCCTGTACGAACAGACACACAAATGTGTGATTACTAACTACTAACATCAAATTAATCTAATAATTCGATGGAGGAGTATCGGTGTTCGTCTGTTCTAATTAGGACTTCGACCCGTGAGCAGCCCCTGGGGAATTATGTCGGAAAATCCGACACCATTTAATAATATACAGACAGATAATAAGTGCTGCTGTATTACCAACAAGTTACCCATAGAAAACGTAACTTGTAGTGGAATTACCGTCTAAAGAAAACGGGATATCATCACCACATACTATTATAATTCACCACCTATTATGGTGGGAATTATTCTTAAATACATTAGTCTTTGGACTTTACCATCATAAAAACATCTTATATAAATTAACTTAATTATCAATATTAAAGTAGAGTAAATGTGACCCTTCTATCACTTTCTGAAATCTGGACAAAGTAGGCCAGGCGTCAGTGGGGAAGGAGGGCAGCCATTGTTGTTATACGAGACCAGAGGCTCACACGGGAGCAAATTCGGCTCCTGTTAATTTTACTTGGACGTAGTGTTATGGATACCAAAGTGTACCATCTGTCAACACGCTGTCAACAAATCAAGTTAAGTGTTCTTTCCGAAACCCATTATTTATCATTAGTGGCCATTAATGTCAGGATATAGGGTGACCCGGTTAGATCACATGGAAGCCTCAAACTAAAGGTAATTAAGCCAGGTCTTCATGTTCCATGTACTGTTTTCTCTGATATACTTGTCATATATAGGATTCTGGCTTCACAGCTAGCGCACTTTTGACAGGTCAAGACGAGGAAGGATTTGTGCACCAGTTACTGGGTGATATGGAAGCTACCTCAAAGAGGATAATTTGGTGTCTACACCCTAGTTATACCTGGTGGACTAACCTGCTGTACTATAAGATAAGGAACCTCTTCAATGTTTAATAGTATGTAGTCTATTTCTGTAGTTTGATTGGCTGCATATATATTAATTTAATAACCCCCCCTAATGTGTAGAGGATCGATTTGTGAGATTAAGAGATTATTGCAGAAATACAGTCCACTTATCATTATACAAATTGCTATCGAAGTATATAAATTAACGTAAATATAAATTCATATAAATTAAATAAATATAAATCTCACAGGTCGGTTCCCACAATTATATAATTATTATAATTAATACACCATACCCCTTACAAAGAAGGAATAAGTTAAACAGGGAGATTGAAGAAATCGAACTGTGACTGAAACATTCATATCAGATTGAGGAAGTGCAACTAGAACAGAAAGCAGTACAAGAGATAAAAAAAATCCGAAATAGTTCTTCACATATGCTAAATCAAAAGCAAAAACCACTGCCAGTATTGGACCTATTCGTATTAGTGAAGGTTCATACACTGAGGATGACAAAGAAATTAGTGAAATCCTAAAAAAAACAGTATGAGGACATGTTTAGCACTCCGATACTCAGCATGAAAGTGGAAGATCCGGACAATTTCTTTATGAATGATACTCAAACCCCTGTAAATATAACTGATATCAACACGAGCGTGGCAGATTTTCAAAGAGAAATTGACAACATGCCCATGCACTCGGCCCCAGGTCCAGACTCATGGAATTCAATATTTATAAAGAAATGCAAAGTGCCGGTAGCACAGGCACTCAGTATAGTGTGGAGGAAGAGCTTGGACACGGGGGAGATACCAGATGCGCTTAAAGTAGCAGACATTGCCAATGCTTTGCTACCACCCTTGTGTAGAGGGGCAAAGAATTATAGACCAGTTGCACTAACGTCCCACATAATAAAAGTATTTGAGAGAGTGATCAGGAGTCAGGTCACTAGTTTCATGGAGACCAATGACCTTCACAATCCAGGCCTGGGTTGACTCACAAGTCAAACCTGGCCTCGGGTCGGGCTTGGGGAGTAGAAGAACTCCCAGAACCCCATCAACCAGGCCGGGCTTGGGGAGTAGAAGAACTCCCAGAACCCCATCAACCAGGTACTGGGCGGCTTGGGGTCGTGTATTTCTGATTAACAAGGTTGTTTTTTACTCCGTGACAGACCGAGAGCTGACGAAAGCACTTAGGCAAGTTGACTATCTTCCCCAAATGGTACACATACTACATTGTATACATATGTTTATTGTTTAACAGATTACTTAAATACTTGTAATGGATTATCCGGTCAAAGATGCGACGGTTGTTAGGCTAATTCTCCGGTTAAAGAGCGCACAATCGGTACATTAGAACATACTGTGTGCTTTGGTTAAAGGGAACAGTCGTTGGAATATTGGCTGGACATGTTGTTGGTACTGGGTGTAGAGTCTGTTGCTGGTGTAGTGTCTGCTGCAGGTGTAGTGTCTGCTGCAGGTGTAGTGTCTGCTGCTGGTGTAGTGTCTGCTGCAGGTGTAGTGTCTGCTGCTGGTGTAGAGTCTGCTGCAGGTGTAGTGTCTGCTGCTGGTGTAGTGTCTGCTGCAGGTGTAGTGTCTGCTGCAGGTGTAGTGTCTGCTGCAGGTGTAGTGTCTGCTGCTGGTGTAAAGTCTGCTGCAGGTGTAGTGTCTGCTGCTGGTGTAGTGTCTGCTGCAGGTGTAGTGTCTGCTGCAGGTGTAGTGTCTGCTGCTGGTGTAGTGTCTGCTGCAGGTGTAGTGTCTGCTGCAGGTGTAGTGTCTGCTGCAGGTGTAGTGTCTGCTGCTGGTGTAGTGTCTGCTGCAGGTGTAGTGTCTGCTGCTGGTGTAGAGTCTGCTGCAGGTGTAGTGTCTGCTGCTGGTGTAGTGTCTGCTGCAGGTGTAGTGTCTGCTGCAGGTGTAGTGTCTGCTGCAGGTGTAGTGTTGTCGTGCTGCTGGTGTAAAGTCTGCTGCAGGTGTAGTGTCTGCTGCTGGTGTAGTGTCTGCTGCAGGTGTAGTGTCTGCTGCAGGTGTAGTGTCTGCTGCTGGTGTAGTGTCTGCTGCTGGTGTAGTGTCTGCTGCTGGTGTAGTGTCTGCTGCAGGTGTAGTGTCTGCTGCAGGTGTAGTGTCTGCTGCAGGTGTAGTGTCTGCTGCTGGTGTAGAGTCTGCTGCTGGTGTAGTGTCTGCTGCTGGTGTAGTGTCTGCTGCTGGTGTAGAGTCTGCTGCAGGTGTAGTGTCTGCTGCAGGTGTAGTGTCTGCTGCAGGTGTAGTGTCTGCTGCAGGTGTAGTGTCTGCTGCTGGTGTAGTGTCTGCTGCTGGTGTAGTGTCTGCTGCTGGTGTAGTGTCTGCTGCAGGTGTAGTGTCTGCTGCTGGTGTAGAGTCTGCTGCAGGTGTAGTGTCTGCTGCTGGTGTAGTGTCTGCTGCTGGTGTAGTGTCTGCTGCTGGTGTAGTGTCTGCTGCTGGTGTAGTGTCTGCTGCAGGTGTAGTGTCTGCTGCAGGTGTAGTGTCTGCTGCTGGTGTAGAGTCTGCTGCTGGTGTAGTGTCTGCTGCTGGTGTAGTGTCTGCTGCTGGTGTAGTGTCTGTTGCTGGTGTAGTGTCTGCTGCTGGTGTAGTGTCTGCTGCTGGTGTAGTGTCTGCTGCTGGTGTAGAGTCTGCTGCTGGTGTAGTGTCTGCTGCTGGTGTAGAGTCTGCTGCTGGTATAGTGTCTGCTGCTGGTGTAGTGTCTGCTGCTGGTGTAGAGTCTGCTGCTGGTGTAGTGTCTGCTGCTGGTGTAGAGTCTGCTGCTGGTGTAGTGTCTGCTGCTGGTGTAGTGTCTGCTGCTGGTGTAGTGTCTGCTGCTGGTGTAGTGTCTGCTGCTGGTGTAGTGTCTGCTGCTGGTGTAGTGTCTGCTGCTGGTGTAGTGTCTGCTGCAGGTGTAGTGTCTGCTGCTGGTGTAGTGTCTGCTGCTGGTGTAGTGTCTGCTGCAGGTGTAGTGTCTGCTGCAGGTGTAGTGTCTGCTGCTGGTGTAGTGTCTGCTGCAGGTGTAGAGTCTGCTGCTGGTGTAGTGTCTGCTGCAGGTGTAGTGTCTGCTGCAGGTGTAGAGTCTGCTGCTGGTGTAGTGTCTGCTGCAGGTGTAGAGTCTGCTGCTGGTGTAGTGTCTGCTGCAGGTGTAGTGTCTGCTGCTGGTGTTGGTACAGAGGGCGGGCGGTGGCCGAGGGCGGGCGGTGGCCGAGGGCGGGCGGTGGCCGAGGGCGGGGTGGCCGAGGGCGGGGTGGGACGAGGGCGGGCGGTGGCCGAGGGCGGGCGGTGGACGAGGGCGGGCGGTGGACGAGGGCGGGCGGTGGACGAGGGCGGGCGGTGGACGAGGGCGGGCGGTGGCCGAGGGCGGGCGGTGGCCGAGGGCGGGCGGTGGCCGAGGGCGGGCGGTGGCCGAGGGCGGGCGGTGGCCGAGGGCGGGCGGTGGCCGAGGGCAGGGTGTGGACGAGGGCGGGCGGTGGCCGAGGGCGGGCGGTGGACGAGGGCGGGCGGTGGCCGGGGTTACGAAGGTCGTCGTGACTGTTGAATGATGCATATCGTCCACCCCGTACCGCCGCCAAACCGGCCGCCGCCCGCCACCCACCGCCTGGCCGCCCACCGCCCCGCCACCCACCGCCTGGCCGCCCACCGCCCCGCCACCCACCAAACACCAAACTCTTGCCACCAAAAGTATTCACAGCGATTAATTGGGAATTCGAAAAGATGAATGTTTACTGGCGGAAATTTTAGTGACTAATATATACTCACCTAGTTGTGCTTGCGGGGGTTGAGCTCCGGCTCTCTGGTCCCGCCTCTCAACGGTTAACAGGTGTACAGGTTCCTGAGCCTTCTGGGCTTTATCATATCTACACTTGAAACTGTGTAAGAATCCATCCTTCTCTACCCGGTCGGGAAAGGGAGCCGGTCGGCCGAGCGGACAGCACGCGGGACTTGTGATCCTGTGGTCCTGGGTTCGATCCCAGGCGCCGGCGAGAAACAATGGGCAGAGTTTCTTTCACCCTATCCCCCTGTTACCTAGCGGTAAAATAGGTACCTGGGTGTTAGTCAGCTGTCACGGGCTGCTTCCTGGGGGTGGAGGCCTGGTCGAGGACCGGGCCGCGGGGACACTAAAAGCCCCGAAATCATCTCAAGATAACCTCAAGATAGGAACCCTGTTAATTCCCCTGAGAATTTTGTATGTGGTGATCATGTCTCCCCTTACTCTTCTGTCTTCCAGCGACGTGAGGTGCAGTTCACGCACCTTTTCCTCGTAACTCATGCCTCTTACGTCTGGCATGCCTAGTGGCATGCCTCTGAACGCGTCCTGTGCGTGACAAGGTGTGTTTGCGTGCGTGTGTGTGTGGGGGGAGTGCGTGTGCGTGCGTGTGTGTTGGTGGGCGGGTCCCCGCAGACCGCCTGATGAATGATGCAGACCAACCCCGCAGACGTCTAGGGGGGGGGGGGCCGAGGATTTTGGTGGAGTATACTGCTGCTGCCTCGCCCTGCCCTCTCCTCCACGCTGCTGCTGCTGCCTCGCCCTGCCCTCTCCTCCACGCTGCTGCTGCTGCTGCTGCCTCGCCCTGCCCTCTCCTCCACGCTGCTGCTGCCTCGCCCTGCCCTCTCCTCCACGCTGCTGCTGCTGCCTCGCCCTGCCCTCTCCTCCACGCTGCTGCTGCTGCCTCGCCCTGCCCTCTCCTCCACGCTGCTGCTGCTGCCTCGCCCTGCCCTCTCCTCCACGCTGCTGCTGCTGCTGCTGCCTCGCCCTGCCCTCTCCTCCACGCTGCTGCTGCTGCCTCGCCCTGCCCTCTCCTCCACGCTGCTGCTGCTGCTGCCTCGCCCTGCCCTCTCCTCCACGCTGCTGCTGCTGCCTCGCCCTGCCCTCTCCTCCACGCTGCTGCTGCTGCTGCTGCCTCGCCCTGCCCTCTCCTCCACGCTGCTGCTGCTGCCTCGCCCTGCCCTCTCCTCCACGCTGCTGCTGCTGCCTCGCCCTGCCCTCTCCTCCACGCTGCTGCTGCTGCCTCGCCCTGCCCTCTCCTCCACGCTGCTGCTGCTGCCTCGCCCTGCCCTCTCCTCCACGCTGCTGCTGCTGCTGCTGCCTCGCCCTGCCCTCTCCTCCACGCTGCTGCTGCTGCCTCGCCCTGCCCTCTCCTCCACGCTGCTGCTGCTGCCTCGCCCTGCCCTCTCCTCCACGCTGCTGCTGCTGCTGCTGCCTCGCCCTGTCCTCTCCTGCACGCTGCTGCTGCTGCCTCGCCAATGGTTCCTCTCTGTACACCGATCATCCTGACTTCCAGTTCTCTTGTTTCTTCGTCTCCTCTTTCTCTCTTCTTATTCCTTGGCTCCTCTTGTGCTTCTTGTGCCAGGGATGTCGTGATAGTAGAGCGGGTTTGCATGCCCCGCGGCTTGAACGATCTTGGTGTACCCGGAGTGGCTTCCGGGAGGTATAGTCCTCCTGGCTTGGGTCCAGGTGTCTGACTGACCGCCTGGCTGACACTGTGTGTTGGGGGGGGGGGGTGAGTGACCCTGGATTGGGCGGCCAGATAACAGGGCGGAAGTGGCCCTGCTAATGATCCTCTCCTAGCGCCACCTCTCCCAGCCCCCCCCCTCTCCCAGCGTCCCCCTCTCCCAGCGTCCCCCTCTCCCAGCGCCACCTCTCCCAGCGTCCCCCTCTCCCAGCGCCACCTCTCCCAGCGTCCCCCTCTCCCAGCGTCCCCCTCTCCCAGCGCCACCTCTCCCAGCGCCCCCTCTCCCAGCGCCACCTCTCCCAGCGCCCCCCTCTCCCAGCGTCCCCCTCTCCCAGCGCCACCTCTCCCAGCGCCACCTCTCCCAGCGTCCCCCTCTCCCAGCGCCACCTCTCCCAGCGCCACCTCTCCCAGCGTCCCCCTCTCCCAGCGCCACCTCTCCCAGCGCCACCTCTCCCAGCGCCACCTCTCCCAGCGCCACCTCTCCCAGCGTCCCCCTCTCCCAGCGCCACCTCTCCCAGCGCCACCTCTCCCAGCGTCCCCCTCTCCCAGCGTCCCCCTCTCCCAGCGCCACCTCTCCCAGCGCCACCTCTCCCAGCGTCCCCCTCTCCCAGCGCCACCTCTCCCAGCGCCACCTCTCCCAGCGGTGGTACCGTGGACAGCACCCCTGCAGGTTAGTACCCTGACTAGAATCGTGCCCAATTGATGTCACACAAGGAGCTTGGATCTATGACATCCATCTCCAGGTCATTGATGTGTCGGAACTGCTTGTTCTGGCGCGCCAATAACTAGCAGCTCCATGTGAGGGACTCCATGTATGTCGTCTAAACCAACTCTGCTTAAGACGAGGGTAGAAATAGTCTAAGCTACTCTATCCTGTTGATCTCATTCTTTTATCTTTATCTTTTATCTTTTATAACTTACTTCAACTTGAGTTGCTTTGGATGACTCCTGTAATCTCGGTAGCCTGGAAGGGAACTATCAGGGGGAAAGCGCCAAGCCATTACGACTATATAGCACTGGGAAGGGGTCAGGATAAGGATTTGGGATGGGACGGAGGGAAAGGAATGGTTCCCAACCACTTGGACGGTCGGGAATTGAACGCTGACCTGCATGAAGCGAGACCGTCGCTCTACCGTCCAGCCCAAGTGGTTGGGCCTGGAGAGGTAGCCACGTCCGCCCCCTGGGAGAGCTGGGACTGGAATGAGACTTCCAGGAGAATCCAGACTCCGCCCCCACAGTGCTTATATTTCGCGGGCTTTTCCATGGTCCAATTACAACTAAGCACCGACTTGCCGCCAATTTCTATTGGGTAGAAAGACGCCTGATATTTAGCCCTATGTATGCTTAAGGTGGTAAGCTTAGATTGGTGTAAATGGCTTAGAAATATCTCCTTATTCCACCCTAATCTCTTCAAGTATCTCTGGATAAACTTGTATTGAAGATCCAGTAATCCATTGGAGTGATTTATATTCAAGCTCCATTAATCTGATTGGGTGATTTGTCACCTACGACAAACACACAATATTACTGATAGCTGTGAGAACTTTCCTGTGTCCTACAGGATGAACAACCCAGCGGGTTTTCTTCCTATTGGGGAGTGTTGTACATTCTGCTATGGCGGTGTATCCACTCACAAGATGAGTGGCGCTGCCCAATAAACTCGCCCCTCGGGGCAAAATTTAAAAAACCTTTCCTGTGGGCCAACTTGAGATTAATTCAAGACGAAGACCTTGACATACTTATTACAGGTGTAGATGAACAGCGGTAGGTAACCTGCCCTGATACAGCGGCTACAGGGAACTGAGGCTGTGAAGGGGCCTAGTGTTTACAGTTGGGTACAGCCAAGCACCAGCTACAGCTCCCGAGGCTTGAAGTACAGCCCCATTTAATGAAATCCATAGTGGGTAATCACCAAGGTTAATATTCTAATTTCTAACATTATGATGATGATACATCCATCTAGAAGATAAAGCCAGCCCAGAGTAGGCACGGGATGGCTTAAATTATATATTATACTATATTATATAACAATTATATGATACACGGGCATGAATAGCCCGTAATGTGTCGCACAACTTCTACAGAACTGGACCTACAGACAGTCGTAGGTGGATTATGAAAACGTTTAAAGTTACACCTGGTGATGGTGCCTCGTCCTGATCACCGCCGCTGCTCACATGTTTTAAACACGTGGAGGGGAGGGACGACCACTCACAAGGAGAGGGACGACTCCTCACAAGGAGAGGGACGACTCCTCACAAGGAGAGGGACGACTCCTCACAAGGACGACCCAAGAAGGACGACACCCATCAGAGAGACGGTCAGCTGGGGGAGGCAAGGCGTGGTGCCGTACCTGTAACTTACCTGTAAACACTTCCAAGAGTTCTTCTCACCCTTCTTGCGATAATATGATCAATAAGGTTGTTGTTGGCAGTGACCAAGGAGGTCCACTTATCTATCAGTGGCCAAGGGGTCCACTTACTAGGTGAACAGGTGCATCAGGGTGAAAGAAACTCTGCCCATTTGCCTGGTGTAAACAAAGCAACCACCACCACCTGCAAAGAGGCGCTGCCCTGCAGGTGGTGGTGTTCCACGGTCGTATCCCAGCTGGTGAGACCCACCCCCCACACCACCCCCACCACCCCCATTCTCCTCCCCCACCTCCCCACACTCCTCCCCCACCCCTGGCCATGTACGCATTGCATCTGTTACTGGATCGTGGGCGTTCGGCGCCCTCAGAGGTGCTGCGATCGTGGGCGTGCAGGCAGCGTGGGCGTGCAGGCAGCGTGGGCGTGCAGGCAGCGTGAGCGGGCAGGCAGCGTGGGCGGGCAGGCAGCGTGGGCGGGCAGGCAGCGTGGGCGTGCAGGCAGCGTGACCGGGCAGGCAGCGTGGGCGTGCAGGGAGTGTGGGCGTGCAGGGAGCGTGGGCGTGCAGGCAGCGTGAGCGGGCAGGCAGCGTGAGCGGGCAGGCAGCGTGGGCGTGCAGGCAGCGTGGGCGTGCAGGCAGCGTGGGCGTGCAGGCAGCGTGGGCGTGCAGGCAGCGTGGGCGTGCAGGCAGCGTGGGCGTGCAGGCAGCGTGGGCGTGGTCTTGAAGA